AAAACACCCAAAAAAAAAAAAATCCGAAAAAACCAGGAACTCCCAAAACACCCCAAAAAACCCCAAAAATCCCCCAAAATCAAATTCAAAATATCCCAAAAAATCACAAGAAATCCCAAAAATCCCTTTAAAAAATCCCCAAAAAGTCGCCCAAAACCCCCAAAAAATCTGAGAAAAAAAATCCCAAAAAATTCTCAAAAAATACCCAAAAAAACCCCTAAAACACCAAAAAAATCCGAGAAAATCCAAAAAAAACCCAAAAAATCCCCCCGAAAATGCCAAAACACCCCCCAAAAAAAATCCGAAAAAACCAGGAACTCCCAAAACACCCCAAAAAAACCCAAAAATCCCCCAAAATCAAATTTAAAATATCCCAAAAAATCACAAGAAATCCCAAAAATCCCTTTAAAAAAATCCCCAAAAAGTCGCCCAAAACCCCCAAAAAATCCGAGAAAAAAATCCCAAAAAATTCTCAAAAAATACCCCAAAAAACCCCTAAAACACCAAAAAAATCCGAGAAAATCCCAAAAAACCCCCCCGAAAATGCCAAAACACCCCCCAAAAAAATCCGAAAAAACCAGGAACTCCCAAAACACCCCAAAAAACCCCAAAAATCCGTTTAAAAATGCCATTTTTTGGTCGATTTTAGCCGCCTTCGTGCTGCAGGTGACCTCCAGCTGCTGGCTGACCACCGACGGTTCCTTGGTGGCCACCAACGGCTCGCAGGACCTGGAGGTGGCCCTGTCCCGGATGCCGCTGGTCTGCGGCGACCTGCGGGGACCCCGCGCTGGCCCATGCCAGCATGGAGGACCCTTGGGGACACTTGGGGACATCCTGGCGCAGAGGTTGGCCCGCGACGGCCGCTGGCAACGGCGGCTGCGGCAGCGGCAGCGCCTCTGCCAGGAGCTGCCCAAGATGGTGTGGCCACCGCTGAGAGGTCAGGGGACAGCGGGGACGGCGGGGCGGTTGGGGATGTTGGGGACATTGGGGACATCAAGGGGACATTGGAGATGTTGGAGACATTTAGGGACTTTGAGGACATTGGGGACTTTGAGGACATTGGGGACATCAGGAACATTGGGGACATTGGAGATGTTGTAGACATTTAGGGACTTTGAGGACATTGGGGACATTGGACACGTTGGGGACGCCAGGGACATTGGGGGTGTTGGGGACATCGGGGCAGTTGGGGACATTGGGGACATCGGGAACATCGGGGACATCAAGGGGACATTGGAGATGTTGGAGACATTTGAGAACATTGAGGACATTGGGGACTTTGGGGACATTGGGGACGTTGGAGATGTTGGAGACATTTAGGGACTTTGAGGACATTGGGGAC